GACATCCGTTGAAAGGATCTCTAACTCTATAACTGCAGTTTACACACTAGTGCTGGTCCCTAAAGAGTGACCATACTCTCTTCAGAGTCCCTTCTTAGGAGGCTCTTCACTCAGCATACCAGCTGCCATCAACCTCATTAATGAGGTTCCTAAATCTTCTCATAGGAAGGGCAATTCCAAACATATGATTCTGCCTAGTGTGCCAGGCATCCAAAAATCAGGCACTGTAACACTTAAGCCACTTTACAAATTAAAGACTTTCAAGTCACGTAGGTGATTTTTACTTTTGTGCATGGAGGCTGATGTTGCAGATCACTATTATTCACTAATTCCTTAAGAAAATCTGAACTGCTATGGTTGGAATGGAAATTTAATGGCTTTTTCCAAATAATGCTGGAAATACAAAGAGGATTTTTGGCTTTGTGTTATGAATGACCACTATTTTACTTCATGAACAGTGGTAAATTATTTGCACAGTAAAGACCATGTAATTACAAAGTACAAACAGTAACTGATAATTATGATTATTTCAGTACCCTACAGTGAAGAGTAGCTGGTAATTAATTTTTGGACCTACCAAACTAAATATAATTACTAGGAACAACAGAAACTGCAGGCAAATGCTGATAAAACAGAGTTAGACATCACTGTGTTCTTCTATATTACGTAACACTTTATCCACAATTAAATTATACCAGTAAAATAGAGACTCATTTCATAAGAACTTCTAAAAATCTGTAGATTAAAAACATGGCAAAAAGTTATGAATTTTAGCATTCATATGGCATTAATAATTAGGCATTCTGTTATGCTCGTTCAAAATTTGACTGAAGTATCTGCCAGAGAGTCAACAACCCCCTTTACATGGTTTACTGCCTGTACACTTTCATGAACATTTACAGTCAATATTACACTGATTTTGTATTGATTAAGATCGTGGGACACAAGCCTAATTCACTAGTCTCATTCTAGAGTCTGTTGCTTGTGAATTACTTCATAGTATGAAGTTTGGATTACCAAACCTCATGAAGTCCTTCTGGGCCCACTGCTTAAGCCTGTCTAGGTCCCAGTAGATGGCATTCCATCCCCATGAGTGCTAAATGCACCCCACAGCTTGGTGTCATCAGCAAACTTGCTGAGGGTGCACTTGATCCCACGGTCAATGTCATCAATGAAGATATTTAAGAGTATTGGACCCAGTACTGAACCCTGAGGGACAACACTTGTCACTGATCTCCATCCAGATGTGGGGCCATTGACCACAATTCTCTGGATACTACTAACCTTTTCAATGTGAGTAGATACTAAATGAATCTGCTCATTTGTTAGTTACATTCAGCATGTGAAACTGCTCTGAGAATAGAATTTGGGTGAGGAATAGAACAAATACTATAATCTTTATAAATAAACAAAAATGTATTTCTGTCTTCTTTGCAGATAGTATCTCTATTTATCAGCTGAGTGTCAATCCATATTCTATAATTACATTACTTGTTGCAGCTATTTTTCAAAAGCATGCAGTTCCTTTGGAGAAATGTACCGCTTTAGCTTAGTAGCTATTCTCTTCCTCTGCCCTGCTGTGATGCTTTTATCATAATACTAGTCATATGCTGGCAGCCACAATCTTGTGCTCCTGAGAATGGCCTCATAGAAAGTCTAAGATGAATCTTCAGACGGCTCCTTAAATTTATGCCTTTCCTCTCTTGCTATTGTTAGCAAAGCAATAAGGTGTTTGTTTTTTTTTTTTTCCTTTTTCTTATGACTCCTTCAATTCTTTTGGGAGGAATGAAGACACAGGCTAGGAGAAAGCTTTGCTGGGTGGCAGCATCTTAACATTGAATAATATACTACTGTGCATACTAATAAATGGTGTTAGGTTTGATTATACAATTTTGTAAATGAATATCTAAGTAAATTACTTTTCCAGATTGTTTTCAATTATTATTTCTCTACAAATTCCTTTTTGAACAGTTTAATACATATCATTGCAGCCTAAGGGTATATATAACTTAGGGCATATATTTTGTTGTGAATGTATCTGAAATAATCTTACACAAGAAAATTTTAACCCAATCATACAATATTTAAAGGTACATAGTCATACACAGGGCTGAGGTCCTCAATGCTTTCTTTACATCTGCCTTTAATAGCCAGATCAGTTATCCCCTGGGCTTTTTATGCCCTGATCTGGAAGTCTGGGATGCTACTCAGAATATGCCCCCAGTGATTCAGGTGGAGACAGTCAGAGAGCTCCTTCTCCATCTGGATTGTCACAAGTCCATGGGACCGGATGGGCTACACTCTCGGGTGCTGAGGGAGCTGGCGGGGGTGATTGCCGAGCCGCTCTCAGCCAACTATCAGCGCTCCTGGTTAACTGGTGAGGTCCCAGAGGATTGGAGGGTTGCTGATATGACTCCCATCTTCAAGAAGGGCCGTAAAGAGGATCCAGGGAACTACAGGCCTGTCAGCCTGACCTCGGTACCAGGAAAAGTTATGGAGTAAATCATCTTGGACAAGATTTCATGGCATGTGCGTGGTGTCCAGGGGATCAGACCCAGCCAGCACAGGTTTGTGAAAGGCAGGTCATGCTTGACCAACCTCATCTCCTTCTATTACTGTGTGACCAGACTGGTAGATGAGGGAAGGGCTGTTGATGTAGACTACCTAGACTTCAGCAAAGCTTTTGACCTGGTCTCTCACAGTATTCTGGGGAAACTGGCTGCCTGTAGTCTGCACAGGTATACCCTTCTTTGGGTAAGGAACTGGCTAGAGGACTGTGTCCAGCAGGTAGTGGTGAATGGAGTTAAGTCCAGCTGGCAACCCCTTAACAAGCGCTGTCCTCCAGGGGTCGGTACTAGGACCCATCTTGTTTAATATCTTTATTGATGACCTAGATGAAGGGGACTGAGTGTACCCTCAGTAAGTTTGCAGATGACGCCAAGTTGGGAGGTGGTGTTGATCTGTCTGAGGATAGGGAGGCCCTTCAGAGGGATTTAGACAAGCTGGATCGCTGGGCTGAGGTGAATGGGATGAGGTTCAACAAGGCCAAGTGTCGGGTCCTGCACTTTGGGCACAACAACCCCATGCAGCATTATAAGCTTGGGGATGAGTGGCTGGATGACTGTGAAGAAGAGAGGGACCTGAGGGTGTTGGTTGATGCTCGGCTGAACGTGAGCCGACAGTGTGCCCAGGTGGCCAAGAGGGCCAATGCCATCCTGGTCTGCATTAGAAATAATGTGGCCAGCAGGAGCAGGGAGGTGATCATCCCCCTGTACTCAGCACTGGTGAGGCCGCACCTCAAGTACTGTGTTCAGTTTTGGGCCCTTCACTACAAGAAAGATGTTGAGGTTCTGGAGCATGTCCAGAGAAGGGCAACAAAACTGGTGAGGGGTCTGGAGCACAAGTCTTATGAGGAGTGGCTGAAGGAGCTCGGATTGTTTAGTCTGGAGAAGAGGAGGTTCAGGGGAAGACCTCATTGCACTCTACAACCTCCTGAAGGGGGGTTGTGGTGAAGACAGATTCGGCCTCTTCTCCTAGGCAACGAGCAGGACACGGGTAATGGCCGCAAGTTATATCACTGGAGGTTTAGATTGGACATAAGGAAGAACTTTTTCTCTCAGAGAGTGGTCAGGCACTGGAATGGCTGCCTAGAGAGGTGATGGAGTTGCCGTCCCTGGCAGTGTTCAAGAGGCATCTGGAAGAGGAGGTGCTTGTGGTGGCAATAGTGATGAGGAGACGGTTGGACTAGATGATCTTGTAGGTCGTTTCCAACCTTGTGATTCTATGATTCTATGATTCTAATTCCAAGATATCTGTGATTCCAAGACATCTGTGGATGTTTCAAGTTCTTATGGAAATACAATTTCCAGTCATTCCTATTTTGATGGTTGTTTTTAAAAAACACTGAGGTACTATCAAGTACTGTGTAATTGGATATGCCTGCAAAGGATTTTTAAAGATTACAAAGGGAGAGAGAGAGACATATTTCAACTGCAAATAAACACCTGATGGGCTGAGATGTCTTTGATAAATCCTAAATGCCTGTATGTCTACAGAGATCTGATCCTTTTGAAGTTCTAACACAAGATTAGGACTAAAAAAATAAGACTTTTTCTCTTTTTCTCATTTTTATGAAAGGCTATTTTAAACCAAATTGTCATATTTACACAATTGCATACCTCTACACCCATATGCTACAGAATGAGAAAATCCATTGTTCTTTCTCATGGACTCATAGTCTTAATCTACAGTCTGTACTTATCTCACTGTCTACTGATTGCTACTTGTATTTTCAGTAATTTAAAAGTATTTGTTTTTTCACACTTAAAAGATAAATTTCATATACTGACCATGGCCTGTGTTCCCTTCCTAAGCTGTATAACCCTGTGCCAGGACAGCCTAACAAATTTTCTGTCACACAAGCTCTATGCTGTTATTGCTCAATACATCAGTTATCATCCTACCCTCTGTGAAACCCTATGTGAGCTTTTCCATCTATTTCTGAATCACATTTAACTTCCAACTCTTCACCTTTAAGTACAGTATAGTATTTCCCTTACATATATTGTTCCAACTCCTTCTTACTCCTCAGTTCTTCTGCCTCTAGCCTCCCTCCCTCACTTTTCCTATCATTTGGCACATTCTGCTCTCTGGATTAGACAGACCTGTATTTGTCTGCTGATGCAATGCTCTTTTATCTTTCTTCCTTTCAACTCCTCCTGAAAACTCTGGTTTTTTGCCCTCTAGCATATCATTATTTGACGGCAAGTTATCAGGAGTGAGCAGAGGCTGCATTGGTGTCCCCTCCACTCAGTCATACATGTGAATAAAATTATTCATTTTGAAACCCCACAGACTTTTAATAATGGCTGATGACCTCTTCTTCATCCCATATCACTCTGCAGAGTGGGTCACTATGGGGGGTCATGAAAGGAAGAGGAGGACAGCTATACTGACTCTGAGTAGGAAAAGAGGAGTAATAACATTTATTTTCCACTTACCGGTTTCTATTGCTAGAAATCCAATCTGAAATTAATGTTGCAGCCTGCTGGTGACAGTGTTTGTTACCAAAGCTGCAGGCCAACATGATGACTTCCCGGCGCAACTCTCTGCCCAAATTAAAGAAAGCAATAAGGTTCCATTAATAAACGCAGTAAAAAATTTACAAATATGCATTTCTTATAACATAGTGGCAGCAGATAGTTGTGTAACAAATCAAAGATAATAATCTAGTTACAAAAGCAAGCCTATAGCTGCTGCAACAGTAAAGGAAAGGTTATGCATCAAAATTAGATTTCATTTACATTTATTCAGTTTTCAGATCTCTTGTGGTCAAGAGTCCAAGTTCTTAAATATCTAGTGCAGACAAATATTAAATTAATGCTTAATGAATACTGTTCTTCAAACTAAGGAAGACAGAATTCATCTCACAGCATCTCACTGCTCTCCTTTTAACCCCAAAAGAAAAAACAGAAGGGAGAGCTAGGAAAGTATGACATGCTGAAGATCATTTTGTGCAATATTACATCTACATTCTGTAAGAAAACAAGCAAATAAACAAAAACCAATAACAAAGAAATGTAACAGTACTCATGTTGGTAGGATGCTTGAACAAGCGATTTGTTTAAATTATTCGTTGGCCATCCAAGCTTGAGATACATTGATGCGACTTGTCTTAAAATATACTCCTGAAGAGGAAAAGAATATTCAGTGTTAACATTTAGTTTTGGTCTTTGTTTCAAACTTGAAATACAATCAACAGTAAGCAAAGTCCACATAAAATTTTCCTTCATTGGTGTAGTGAGAAACAATCTGTAGAAAAGCTAATTGATCAGATGCCTCATATTAGCCAGTTTATGTCATAATAAATATAACAATTTAGGATTTCCTACATGCTATTTTGAACTCACAGTATATGGCTGGAAAGTTGCAAGAATGCCAACAGCTTTACATCTAATCTACAGTTAATCTCAACTATACCATGTATGTTCATTTTTGAAAGAATATTGTTTTGATAGTCACAGCCAGGGCAAAAATGGTCCGTAGGCACAGTCAATTGACCTCAGAATATTGAATAACGTGGCTGCAAATGAGCTTTGTACCATTTAATTACACTATATTTTAAGCAACAAACCCAGCACAAGATATATTTTAGCTTATTTTATTTTTTACACAGGAGATGTATTTACATATTCTGACCAGTTGTAAAGAAAACAACTGTCGTATTCAGCATAATCTTCTGCCAGTAAAATTCACCAATTTGAAAAACAGAACTGAAATATAAAGAACTGCACAGAATAGCATCTGCTTTATTATTATAGATGCATGGGCACGTATATGTGATGTTAGGACAAAAGGAGATTCATAGCGCCACTTTCTCTAGCAGATATGTTATTCTGTGACTAAAATGACTTTTTATTTCCTCTGCTATCACCTCTGCTTTCAAAGCTCTCATCAGTAGTGATAAAACACAAGCCAGCTGTGAATTTTACTGTTTTTATTTATTAAAATTGTCTTTTCTTTACACAGGTATGTTTAAAAGTGAAATACCAATGGCAGTCTGGTAAGAATTTTTCTGTGTAGTTAATAACAGACTGCAAATGCAAATTAATTCAACATCATTTCATGATACAGCTCTGGTTTGCATGAAAGCCTACAATGCAGAGAGCAGGTAGCTCTGCATATATATTTATATGTGTATGGATTTATATATACATAGTCACCTCTAGCTTCCTGCTTTCTGAGCATGTGTGTATAAACACATGTACACACACAGAAACAAATACACATCTTAGAAGAAAAAAGCACATCTAAACATTTCAAGCTTTAGGGTGTTCTCACTCAAATATCTTTATTAAATTACACAACATTCAAAATATGTAAACTACATAAAATTCACTGTACTTTCATTAAAAACATTTCAGCATAGCTAGGATTTTCTTTTTTCCCTTGGTAAAATATTTGTCATGTCCATCTTAATTACCTATTGCTAGTTGCTACTGCTGTCCCTTCGGACCCAATTATGAATGGGCTTCTGATTCAATGGTGATCTAATCCTTGTTAATTAAGGTAACTGCATCGAATTCACAATGGCTTTTTGGAGAAAATAATGACTACAAATCTTTACTTCAGTGGCATGCATCCTGTGTAAGTTGTGCCTGCATTTGATGTTCTTGCTGAGCTTGGGTATCAATCCAAATACAGCTGAGGGGCTCCACAACAGATAAAAATCTGCAAATAGATTACTTCGGCTCTTTTAAGTAGAATACTTTGTTTGTTGTAGTATTCTGTAGGAGAAATAATTACTTGTCCTTCCATTTATCATATGCTTCTCAAACAAGTCATTACTGTTCAAATGCAAATGAACCAAAGCTTGACAACTGGTATGTTTAAAAAGGGAATAATTAGGAAGGAAGTTAGTATCCCTAGGTCACTTACAGAATCTAACTGGAGGACAGTTCAATTCTTGGTAATAAAAGGGAGTGAGGGAAGAGAAAAAGAGATAGGGAGACTATGCATCTCTTACACTGAAGATGTTGTAGTTTTCTGTGCGGTCCAGTAATTTATCTAGAGGATAAAGAGCTTGGCTGGCTGCATGCCAAGGTAGAAAATCCTTCTCCTCTGAAAGGTATCTGATAATCTCCAAAGGAATATTCTGAGGCAAATAACCAGCTCTGTGCAATAAATGAAGTTAGTATTAAATTGATTTTGCAGGAGATACATTATAAAGCAAAAATGACTTTTTTTTTTTTTTTCCCAAAAGACATTAAAAGGCAGACAAACATGATAAACTCATCACACTATAATGACATAAAAGACAACTGTATAAAAAGCAGAACACACCGTCTCTCTCAACACATGGGAAAACCTACATACTGGATGAAGGAAAGTATGAAAAAAACATGAAAGAAGACTAAACAAGCTATCCTTAATACATATAGATTTTAGTAGCTATAGAAAATACAAACAATGAAGTAAAGTTGTCTGCATAAAATCAACAAGTCAAGGTATATTGTTTCAGAGATCATTTCAAATGGCCTCAGTCATCTCGGAAGAACTAATAGTGAATAGGGTTCCTTTAGTTTCATAGTTTTCCTCCCCACACTTTTCTCTCTCCTTCATAGCTGCCTTGTCTTCTAACTGTAAGCCATTTTAGAACAACTTACTGTATTAAACTGAAGTAGCATCCAATGACATATTTTGGTTAAGAGTTTTTCAGCACTTTCCATGAAAGCAATTTTTTTTCCATAGGTTTATCAATCAATCAATCAGGTAGAATTTTGCCCTGCTCTTTAACTGACATAAAAAATCTCTCCCCGAAAGGAAGAGTTTAGTAGGGTTTCAACAACTTTTCTTTTTTTTTATATATATATTTAGTTTTAGATTTGCAAGTAAAGTGCTATACAGCATTTGGAAGCTGCTTTTTAGATCTCAGTACTGGAAACATCACATTTTAGGATTTGTACTCATTTTCTTTTTCAAAACAGTATTTTTTCTTAACTACCCAGATTGCAAAAACAAGGTGTAACCCTGTGGGTGTGAACTTGCCAGAGCACACAAGTCTGTTCTTCTGCTGATGCATGTATTTAAATCCCACAGGAGTTCTCTACCTGCCTAGAAAGGAGATAATGATTTCATTTTCATTAAACGCTTAAACTCAGGAAGCTGGAGTCCACAAGTTTCAGTTTAACATAGGCTTCAGTATGATACATATATTTTGTCCTTGTTGGTCACCAATGGTTCTCTTAATTTCCATCACATGGAAAAAATGCATAAGAGACTGCTTGTTATAGCAAATAAAGACAATTACAGATACATACATACATACATAAATTGTGATCTCAATTGTAACAACAGTTCTTTTAAGAACTACTTTGCTTAAATCTTTGAAATAGACTGATCCAAAACCAGTTTTCTTGTAAAGTGCAGCACATCCATGTAAGCCTTCGTGTTTCATAATCCTCTTCCTTTCAAATTCTTGTGGAAGAAGAGAGTTCATATATGATATTTCAAAATTATCTATGCCACACGCTCATAATATGCTTTCCACTATGCTGTCATCTTTGTCTCCATATTGTCAGCAAGGTCCTGTTCTCAGCTCGTTACAGAGCAGACTCAAGCAAGGAAAGTTGAGATGACTTGAGTTCAGTAAGTCACTCAGCCACTTAACAGATGTGAAAGGAGAATGGGCCTCTCAGAGTGGATAGTGACAGAGTTCAGTACATCTGAAAACTGAGAAAGTAAGCTGAATAGGAATGACTTCATCTTTACAAGCCTTTCTTATTTCTGAAGCAGTATGAATTTTAGGTCTCAACACTTTGTAAAGATGTGTAACTATAATAATGTGAGCAGAAACAAGCTTGATTGACTGCAGAGTTAAACATCTTGGAGGTAATATTAGCAAAGAGGTAAACTTGCTCAAAGTTCCACATATATAATTAGATCCCAGTGGGATTTGTGATTATTGTACTGATAATTTGATTGACATGAGAAAGGTGGATCAAAGAACAAGAAGAATGGCTCAGAAAACATGCTACATAAAAAATAAACACACGAATGTTTATTGTAGCTGCACTAATGGACATTTAGGATCATGCCTAAATTGAGTCTCTCTATGCTAATCACAAAAGGGAAATCATCACTGCAAAACAGATTATTTCCTTTTCTTTGTAAGTTTAACTTCTCCATAACAAAACAAAATCATTGAATTCTGAGATCTATTACTTATTCATGAGCTTCTGGCTTTCCTAATCAGTTTTAGAATTGTGATTTTAAGCTGATGCTACTCATTCTGTTCACAATGGAAACTGCTGCTCTCATCATCTCACCATTTTAAACTTCCATAATCTGGAGAAGAGAAAGCTGTTGGAGGACCATATGGTGGCCTTCCAGTACTTGAAGGGGACCTACAGGAAAGCTCGGGAGATACTTTTCAGAAGGGCAGGTAGTGACAGAACAAGCAAAATTGGTTTTAAACTGGAAGAGGGTAGATTTAGCCAAGATATCAGGAAGAAATTCTTTACTGTGAGAGTGGTGAAACCCAGTGAAGTAGTGGATGCTCCCTCCTTGGAAGCATTCAAGGCCAGGCTGGTTGAGGCTTGGAGCAACCCGGTCTAGAGGGAGGTGTGCCTGCCTATAGCAGGGGGTTGGAATCAGAGGATCATCCAGTCCAAACCATTCTGTGATTTTATTATTCTGCATCTTCACAAAACCAAGCATTTTTTTCATTTATTTCTCAAGCTTTGCATTTTTGTATAATCACATTATTTACATTAAAAGTTTGTCCAGCACTGATTTCAAGACTCCCCCTGGAGACACTGAATCCAGGAAGACTTACTGGCTCACTTGAGCAGTGGCAAATTCATCTATTAGCCAACGTGTCCTGTTGTGCACCTAGGATTCTCCTTCACTGTCTGTGAACAGTGAATAGTGAAATAGTTTCAAAAATGGTTATGTAGAATCCAGTCAGCAAAAGCAAAATATTTGTCCCTAGTAAAGTAGGAAGGAATGGTCAAAGGAATGAAAGTCAAAGGACTTGTGACAAAGAAATACCATGAGTTGGCTGACAACTGCTAATTGAAACCACTTGTCTCATTTATGGAGCAGGATAACAACTAAGATGAAGAAAGAAGGCAGAATACAGAATGAGCCTGTTCTACATTTCTCTGCAAACTCATATTCAGACCTCTATAAATTTTTAACAAAATGTTTAACAATTATCATTACAACAAAAGGAAAAATAATAGTAGCAACTTTCCCATCAAGGGGAAAAACATTAAATAATTTCCCTGTCATATAATTGTCTGGTATTATTTATTCAAAGGTACAAATATCTTATGTTAAGTTTTTCACTCTACACATGCAGCTTGATTTGCAATCTTTTCCACCAGTGTCAGTGGAATACCAGTGACAAAAATCCGTATTTTTCTTGTGTCCTTTTCGCTATCATATTTCTGTCCTTAAAGCCCAGCAGAATTACCATCAGATATTGCCTACCAAATGCACCAGAGCAAAGAAATGAGGTTCTTTTCCAGTCTATCCATGTTAGAAGAAAACTGAGAAATCATCTGTCTTACAGGAAATAATTGATTATAAGCTATACCAAAACCATGTAATAAACATAAACACCACAGGCATACTGTGATGTGAAATCATATGACTGGTCTGAAACATCATACTGTTTCTCCAGGTGTCTCAAGCAGCACAAATCTACAACCTAGAAGCACTACAGTTTTGGCACTCCTTTTCCCAAGGGCACAGTGATATTTTAATTCTGGTCCTTCTCCCAGTAACTCTTCAAGGAAGAGTATTAGCAGACCCATGTACATGTTCTAAAATGAAATGTTATTTAAGTAACTTCACTGCAAAACATAAAAAGCTGGAGTCTTTACTGCATTCTAGATTAAAAGTTTTTGACTGGAATCACTGGTCACACAGAGAAGAGCCTGTTTAGAAAAAAACCTCTTCAAGCTCTAAGCCAGCCTTCTTTGTACTGTAAACTTTGGACTGAATGTAAAAAACATGCCAATGAAAGCAAAATTTGACCAAAACAATTACATTTGAGATGATTGGTTGATTTATTACTCTTTATGTAACTGTCCTAATCCAACAGCTTTACCAGCGTGTAAACCTATCCTGTTGCAAAAAAACTTTAGCATCAGTCAGAAACAGGGCAAAACATTAGGTTTGTCTTATCATCCATGTTCCTGGATTTCACTTTTTCCTAATGAACCAAAGAGGAGAACAAGAACATAGGCAAGCAAAGAAATCTGTTTTAGCCATTAGACAAATTATTTCTAGAAAAGAATTCTGACCAAGCAGGTTGTTCATGCCTAAACAGGCTGCTGAGAAATTGTGGTAAAAAGGTTGTTCCCTATTTTTATGACAAGAGCAGAGACAGACAAAGACCTCTCAAAAGTAATATGAATATAAAGTTATGTAGGACATTATATAAGATCAGAAGCACCGACCCTTGAACAAGCTACTATTCTGCTTACACTGAAGAAACTGCTACAGTGACCATTGCTATAAAGAAAAAAAGACAATAAATAGAAAGCAATGAATGTAGTAATGAAATATTCATCACAAAAATATCCCACTAAAAATCCTTTACCAATCCAAAATAATCTTTATGTTACATGAGCTCTTAACAAGTCAGATAAAAGCTAGAGATCTAGACTATATTATGAAACATCAGTGTGTATTCAGCTGCATTTTGACCTTGATTTGTTCTTTACACCAAGCCACTGAACTTATGGACAGATCCCAGCACATTCGTTTTCCCCTTAGGGACAAAGTACCAAATGGTAGTGTAATTGCCAAGGGAAAATTATTACTCTGTTCTGAATTATTTCTATCATAAATCCAGCACCAGTCAAACAGACTCTGTCACAAAAACGACAGTGTTGCCTTACAGTGATGAGAATCCCACATACATGTGTACCATCAATCCCTTAGTCCCATCACCAAACAAAGCCATTATAAATCTTGTGCTTAAATCAAAATTAGAAAATCCAAGCTGGCAGCAAACTGGTCAACATTGTTGAAACAATGGAAATGAAGTGATTTACTTGCCACTGGTTTAAAACTCACCCTGCATCATCTGTTTCCTATGAAATAACATATGACTAGCTTTCTGTTTAAATAATTCTAAAGAGGAAAAAAAATGCAGCTC